TAGATTAAGGACCTGCCCGAAACGCTGCGCGTACTAGTGGCTTTACAAGATTGTAAATACTATGCTATGTCTTCTCACAAACCCAATGTACCTTCTTGTATATAAATAAATAAATAAATAAAACCATGGTAGGTGACCTTAACGCCTCTATGACTGATGGCGTTACAGTGCCTTCGAGGGCAAGGAAATGTAGCCTATGACAAATGAAAATATATTTTAATATTTCTCCTAAATTGCTTTGTTGTGAACCCTATTTTTATAATTCATATGAAACTACCAAAATCCTAGTGAAACAGAAGGCATTTGAAACGTACCTTAGAGCAATTGGTTTTCTGTACCTCGACGACCTGCAAACTCACCTGTAAATAGCATGAAAGCATATTATTCACATGATGTATAACATTTATATCCTCATTCACCACAAATACAATAAACACATACATAATCCAACCCACACACACATGTAAAATGAAAGTGATGATAAAAGCCTAACGTGTATAATACAGTAGGCTGCTTGGCCCCCGATAATAAATTATAACAAGAATTAGGTTTTCATTTTATCCCTGAGCCTATTATGTGCCTCTGTAACCCTTTCCACTACCACTCACAAGATGGGTATAAGGTACATAATAAATTAACTAAACCTTTTAAATCTACGTATAAAAGCAGCCCAGATGATAAGACATTTGAGGTGCTGCTTACGTTTGAAGGAGAAGTAAGTAAGCAATTATCAAAGAAGGCAACAAGCCGAGAAGGCTATGTTGAAGGAGGCGGCCACTGGACACTACTTCTTCTAGTGAGGGCATCACCCAACTCAAATCTTGCAAGACGTCTTAAACCACTCAACATGAGGCGAGCAACACTGAACCTGCCGTATAACATATAGTTTTGTCTACAACAGTAAGGGCCTGTCGTCGACTAAACACTTAAACTCTTTAAAATCAACATTTAGTCAAGTACGGAACTGGGGTAGTTTTCTGCCCGGTTTCTAACTTATTCTTCACTCTTAAGAATGCACTTTTTAAGACCTTGCTACACAAGGAACGAATAACTGAAGTCCCACGCCCATTGTATTATATTCAAATTGCCTGTCAACAAGCCAACTGTTTTGAAACAATGTCAACAATCTCTATAACTTACTGTGACTGAATGCGTTTCTCTCTTATATCCAGCATCAGTTGTCGTCGAAATTTCTCGTCCCACTTAAGACGTTTCTGGCAAACTCAACCCGTCTTCGCAACCAATAGGTCGTGTTTCTTCCGTCGTTGTAACATAACAAATGCAACCTATTCACGTTGTCGATGCACTGCATAGGCTAGATGGGTTGCTTAGATTCGTAAGTTCCTGATTAGGCTAAAAGATTGGATTTGTTTACAGAGTGTCACATGTAGAAAACGGACCGCGCCACAACACACCCGCCACCACCTACAGCAGACGACTGACTGAGCAAACCCGCCTAGGTCATAATAATAATAATAATAATAATAATAATAATAATAATAATAATAATAATAATAATAATTTATTTAGGTAAGGTACATACATACAATAAATTTTTACAAAGATTGGTTGACTTATAGGTAGAGCTAGTACATACAATGCCTAAAGCCACTATTACGCAAAGCGTTTCGGGCATTTATAAAAGTATTTGTGTGTACGTCTGATACCATACTACTTGTGAAGGAGGAAATGTATATGTTTACCTCTCAGAATGTTTGGTAATATGTTTATTTGTGATGTGTGTCTATGTATGTATTAACACGATGTACTGAACGGGGTGAGAATAGCTTGAGCTACCTCATCCCTTTGTGTGTATTTTACCTCAATAAACTTATTTCAATTTCAATTTCAAAACCCGCCGAGTTTGAGGGTTCAGGTTTCGGTCTCGAGTTTCGAATCAACACGTTCATACTGCTCGAAACGCTTTGCGTAATAGTGGCTTTAGGCATTGTATGTACTAGCTCTATCTGTAAATATATCAATTTTTGTAAAACCTCTTGTATGTATGTATCTTACCAGAATAAACATTTATTTATTTATTTATTTATTTATTTATTTATTTATTTATAAATCCACTCGAAACCAGGTGGTGTTTCGTCCAGCCCGTCCTGGTAAACCAGCCCGTCCCGGTAAACCAAGACGGGCTGGTTTACCGGGACGGTTACTGGTTTACCAAAACCCCTCATAATAAACCAGCTTATCCTAGTAAACAATGGTCAAATGCTCCTTGTTGATTCAGAACCGATCACGTTCAACAGTGCTTTGCTCTCTTCATGTGTTTGAATTGCACCTCTCTAAATGCTTCACACATGCACTGAAAATACAAATAATTGCTGGTAAATCACAGCCTGCCTTCAAAACATTGGTCAAATGCTACGCCCAATTCCCGTGCTCGAAATCTTGGGTATTTGGCCCCACGTATTTTATATGAAAATAATTCAGCTAGTCCTAATAAAGGTCAACTTCGAACCAGGGCTCGATGGTTCGGCCGCCCCCACCCTTCCTAATCTATCGACCTAATTTATCGATGCTGATAAAACGTCGATATTACGGCGTTTTCGTTTTGCCAATACGTTGCAATTTTAACGGATTAGTTGATTCTGTACAAAAATAAGACGAATATGATGGGAGAATCAGTTGTGACTCACAGCTGATGGCGTTCGAGCTTTTTTTTCGAGTCCAGCCTCGCAGACAGGTAGAGGCAGCCAGCCCTCATGAACAATGACCACAAAACATTAACCACAGCCGTGGAGTATTAGCATTATGTCAACATTCAGAATGCAAGCTAAATGTTAGTTAATTTAGCCTGGAGGCAACAATAACAGCTTACTGATCAACTCGGGGACTGCAGTCGATTTGTTTCCTCGGTATAAGTCTAACATGTATATTCACAGGCTGCTTGTGCCCCTGTTAAAAAAAAGTAATTGCAGAACTCCAGTTAGCTATGGTATAAAACCTCATACGCTACCGGGCTTATAGATCAGTGTTTAAAGGAAATTCGGAAGTAATAATAATACAGCTGATGCCATCTGTCGGCACAAAAGGACACTATCAACTGGCTGGTCAACAGTAGCCATAAGATACAGCTTACGCCATCTGTTGACATCAAATTACACTTATAACAAATCATCCTTCAAAATACTACTAACGCCATCTCTGTTTTTTCCAACGCACTATAAATAGCCAAACAGCAACCCATAAGGCGGGTTGTTGTGCTCGGGTAGGAGGTTCCAAGCTCTGCCCACAAGAGGTATGGGGTGCATAATAAATGGCATATCATTGGTAGATATTCTTTGTTGACATTCACACAACAGCCAATCACAGGCAGGGATCAGCTAAAGGTGCCATCCACTTAATAAATCATCTTTATTCAGGACACCATCCTTGCTTAAGACATTCTGCTTCAACTTTAATCTATCTAAAAAGTGAAATGTTAAGTATTTAAAAATATTAATATAGTGATAATTAAATATTGCAGGACGTAACGGGTGTTACAGAAACATGGGCTATAGGCTACCTAACTTGTGACGTCATCAGTGGGTGTTGCCACACACAAATAATATCGGCGATACAATGCCTCCGCCCTCTTATTGGTCTACATTATTCAGTTAGATGGAAATTTCTGTCTTGTATAAAACAGAAATTGTTGTTCTTTTATACAACAAGGTTATTGAGCAAAAAGACATACAGTATTTCTTATTTTGCATTTTATTCATATAAGCGTTGGCATTCCCCGCAACAGCCAATCACAGGAAGGTATTTGTTGGAAACTGCCAAAACACGTTGATTCCTAATGAACTCTAACAATAAATTCGTTTAATAAACGAGTATTTAGGGTCAAGCTACAGATGAACATTATAGGATAACGGTGTTTTAGCTTGCAGCTTCGTTAGACAGAATCCCTGGTCTTAATTTTAAAAATAAAGAACTAGAAAGCGTATTTTATTGCTAACTTTTCGAGAAATAAATCCCAGTCTCATATTTACGAACATTTATGCATTGATTTTTTGGTTTAAGTTCTTATCATAATCCCTTTTGCAATCTCAACACCATCTGGCTCGTATCTTGTAACTATCTTCGTTACTTAGCCTCAAAACCTTACATTTGTCTTATATATCCTAAACAGTAGATAACAAAAAGTAATTGCAGAATTCTAGTTACCTAATACCAGCATGGTATAAAACCTTATTATAAGCTACCAGACATATAGATCAGTGTTTAAAGTAATAATAATACATTATTATTAATGTAATAATATTAAAATAATAATAATACAGCTGATGCCATCTGTCGGCAGAAGAGAACACTATCAACTGGCTGGTCAACAGTGGCCATAAGATACAGCTTACGCCATCTGTTGACATCAAATTACACTTATAACAAATTACCCCACAAAATACTACTAACGCCATCTCTGTTTTTTCCAACGCACTATAAATAGTCAAACAGCAACCCATAAGGCGGGTTGTTGTGCTCGGGTAGGAGGTTCCAAGCTCCGCCCACAGGTGGTATGGGGTGCATAATAAATGGCATATCATTGGTAGATATTCTTTGTTGACATTCACACAACAGCCAATCACAGGCAGGGATCAGCTAAAGGTGCCATCCACTTAATAAATCATCTTTATTCAGCACACCATCCTTGCTTAAGACATTCTGCTTCAACTTTAATCTAACTTAAAAGTGAAATGTTAAGTATTTAAAAGTATTAATATAGTGATAATTAAATACTGCAGGACGTAACGAGTGTTACAGAAACATGGGCTGCATGGCTACCTAACTTGGGACGTTATTATTGGGGGTTGCCTTACACAAATAATGATACACTGCTCTGCCCTCTTATGCGAGTAAATTATTCAGTTAGATGGAGATTTCTGTCAGGTGCAAAACAGAAATTGTTGTTCTTTTTCACAACAACCTTGTTGTTGTGCACAAGGACCTATTTCTTAGTTGTGCACAAGGACCTATTTCTTAGACCATTAGGGCAAATTGAAGAGGGGGGGGGGGGGGACCGTTGACAAGTTGCCGGTTTCCTGTCCTCGGCGAGGCCACTAGAATTAGTGGCTCTCAGGTAAATTCAGGTACTGCCGGTGAGTTTAACTCCTTATTGCTTGTAGCAGATTTTATAATATGGAAGTTCTTTCTCACACAACTGAGTTAATAATATGGGATAATTACTAAATATAACTAGCAACAGTGATCTGTTGGTTCTTGTATAAATATTTACTGTAATATTAAAAATAACTATTAATAATTATAATATTAGTATTATTACTGTATTAGCATTCTTATGTATCCTCATATACATGTTCTAATGTTCAAATTTTTGACATGTCATTTGAACTATACCAATAGTACATAACATGATTTTTATTTTTATCCAACAGTTCATTTTTGTATACTTGCCTAATAGTTGCAATAATAGCCAACAATTTTGGAGGATTGGTTGCCTCATAATGAACAATTTTTTTTTAGTCCTTTACTGCCACATTCTTGTTTCCATATCCAATTATTTAGTCTATAGAGTCTTCAATATAAGGTTGTTTCTGAGCCCAATATGTATCTTTGTAATTTTTGCCAGTGCCACACACAAATAAGCGATTCACTAAACTTCCATATGTACTACAGAAGAGGCTTCATTATAGAAGAGGCTGCCATGTTCCCCCGCCCTCCTTTTTCTTTTCCTACACAATTTATACTTTAATCTCAACTAGTATTAAGCTTTAGTTTAAGTGGTTTTTTTCCCCACAGTACATTGTACAGATAGTATATTTATAGATAAAGCTAGTACATTGTATGTACTAGCTCTATCTATAAATCCTATATTATGTTTGTAACTCATCTTCCATGTTTGTACTTTTACTTGAAAAAAAAAATTATTTTTATTTTTATTAATATTGAGTGCGAGCGAGTAATGGGAATAGAGAAATCTGCAGTAATGTAACATGTTCTTGCTATTCTCCACAGACAATTATAAGACCAAGCTGGAAGACTGGATAGTGTTCCAGTACCTACACACAGAGCACATCCGGCAGAGGCTGGAAGTGCCGGTGACCATCCAGTTGGTGTCCTTTGCCAATGCCTCCACACAACATCTCCCTTATGCATTGCCAAGATGATTGCAATTACTTAGCCCTGACAGATGCCAAAACTTTGGGCAGACCTGAGGTATTCTACCATCGGACACGTGTTCACTGAGAAAATATTGAAGTCTTACGATGGGATCGAACCTGCATCCATGTGTGCCCGGAGAGTCCAGTAATGAGGGTTCGATCCCATCATGTGACCTAAATATTTTCTCATAGATGCATCACTTTCTTGTGCATGTGATTACTCTGTTATATTTTGATAAATAAATTGATGGTTTCATACAGATTATGATTTAAATTGAGATGAGGAATTTTAGGTTTATGCATAAGACAGTATACAGTAGTAAGAAATGAAATTAGTGTCAAGTCTGTTCAAAGGATAGTAGTTTTATTTCACTCAATTGTTTTGATTTGTATTTTAATTTGCTATTGATACAACATACCAAAGTAAAGTTAAACGCTTGACAGTTTTGAAAACTTTAATAAACACTCACATTCAATGTTCCATTAAAATTCAGTAAATATAAACTTACATCCAATTTTTTTTTAGCTTTTGCCATTATTAAAAAATTAATAATTTCACTCATTTAAATATCAATCACACAAGCAAACACATTTGACACAAAATGACACCACAACCACACACACACACAAACAAAAACACACACACACACAAACAAAATCGTTTCATAGGAATACTCAACTACTGCACCTCAAATTACCTTGCTCATTAAGTAGTTTCAAAGGCACAACACTTACCTATATGTGTGAAATTAGTGAATCCCCACTGGGCAAAATAGGCTTGAGAAATTTTAAATCAGTTATATTATTGTTGACATAGGATCAATGTTAACATTAGATGAATGTTGATTCAACATTACATCAATGGCATTTGCCCAGATTTGCCTGGGGGGGGGGATATCATTTTGTTCTCATTGTCAAACTTTACAAAAGAAGTCAATTTTCTTGGATTAAAGAACAATGCCTCACCATCAGTGACATAGAATGATCACAAACATTTCATTTCTATCTTTTATGACTAGATATGTGCCAGCGATTCCTGCATTTGGGGCCGATAATCTGAGTGACTTTCACTTATCACATCTGCATTTATCCATCTTGGAGTAAGCAATTGTTATGCTTTGCCCTGCTCTACAGGACAGTAAATTCTGAAACAGACAATACATTATTTCAATATTGCACATATATAATATTTAATAGTATCTACTTATATACATTTTCAGCAGTAGGTGTTTTGAATTTGGGCTATGATGAATATTTTACTCGGTATGTATCAGAATGGAATGGAATCAGGGGGAAGCACCAAGCCATTATGAATATATAGCACTTGGAAGGGGTCAGGATAAGGATTGGGGATGGGAAGAGGAAAAGGAATGGTGCCCAACCACTTGGGCGGTCGGGGATTGAACACCGACCTGAATGAAGCGAGACTGTCGCTCTACCGCCTAGCCCGAGTGGTTGGACAGTATGTATCAGAGACGGCGCTTTGACTATAGTACGTTTCTCCAGGATTCATTAAGCATTTCCGTGTCCATTTAAGAAATTTGTAGTTCTTTTCTCAATCATGGTGACAGTTTGTATTTCATAAATAAAAGCACTAGCAAGGTTGTCAATAATAATTATATCCTTGAGTCAAGAATGATCATGCGGTATTTCCAAGCTTGTAAACTGTTTAACAAATGAAAACTAAGCCACCATAATCGAGGAAAGATGTACATGTTTCACAAGTAGACATTTAAATGCAGGGCCAGATTTAACTCTACTTGGGCCTTAGGCCAAACCGGTTAAATTTTCCCCACCCTCTGGTCAGTGTGCCTATTGAAAGCATAGAGACATGAATGTAGACAGATCATATTATAATATGTATTGATTAATTATCAACATTTTTCAAAATTATATTATGCATAGTTTTGCAGAGGAATATACAGTACTGTAATAAGGCTATATTCCTATACTTATATTATTTGATATTTATCCATTTTTATGGTACAAAAGTGTTGGTGCGCCTCCTGGTGCTGGGTGAGCCTATGCAATGGCCTACTTGGTCTATTGTGTAATTTGGCCCTGTCTAAATGCTCGATGAATCCTGGCCATAAGTGACCGAGTAAGTTCTCACACAACCATCAATACACATACATCTTTTCAGGTTACAATTTTATAAACATCTCATTTCAATAATTAAGTTGCATAGAACATTTTGTAACAACCCACTTCAATATATTTATAATTTGCTACCAAGCAACATTTTACATACCAGTCGAACGTTTATGAAGCTGACTAGACCTTCTCCGATGACTTAAAAGTTTATGGAAAGCCTCATCAACTTTGGCTTGATGGTTGAAAAGGAAGTCGGATAGGATGAGCATCTTTGTTCCGTCAGCAAGAGTCACAACTTCCTCTACAGATATGCCATTTACAGTTATTTTGCCTGTAAATATTCAGATTTTATTACAAAAATACCTACACAATATAAGCAGATGAAAAGTCACAATAACGTGGCTGAAAAAATGTTGACCAAACCACACACTAGAAATTGAAGAGACGACAACGTTTCGGTTCGTCTTCGACCATTATCAAGTTCATTATCACTATCTTCTTGAGGTTATCTTGAGATGATTTCGGGGCTTTAGTGTCCCCGCGGCCCGGTCCTCGACCAGGCCTCCACCCCCAGGAAGCAGCCCGTGACAGCTGACTAACACCCAGGTACCTATTTTAACTGCTAGGTAACAGGGGCATAGGGTGAAAGAAACTCTGCCCAATGTTTCTCACCGGCGCCTGGGATCGAACCCAGGACCACAGGATCACAAATCCAGCGTGCTGTCCGCTCGGCCGACCGGCTCACTAAACAATATAACATTTCAATTTGTGTAGAAATCTGCCAAAAAGTAGAAACACAGTAATATTATTCTAGCTTAGATTAATTTGGGACACATTACAGTTACAGTATTATTTTCACATCTCTGATACCTGATTCTCTTCAGGAACTCATCTCAATAGAAGACAGTATAGCCAAAATAGAAGAAGCCTACGAGCTGCATTTATATATACAGTATATATATATGCAGGTATGCTGATTACAATTAATTTTGTCTGTAAATATACAGTTATGATTTTACTGAACAAAGGCCAATAATGTACAATATAAAATTTAAGTTTGTTTGATTTAATCTTGATTGAATTTTAAGCTTTTTTGAATGCAAATGTCTTAAGATTTTGCATTCAAATTAAGAACAATTTACTAACAAACATCTATACATTTTCTGTTGGAATGTCTTACAGTTTTGCATTGGAACATCTCACTTTTAGGTTATACAAAAAAATCTAAATGCAACACTAACCATCATCACCATTTTTAAAAGTGAGCTCATGTCCTCCAAGGTTAGTAAGAGTGAGACCCTGAGGTTGCGCCATCCTGGGGTCCTGGCCGCTGACTGACTCTTGGACGAGGTGATCTGCTACAAACTGAGTAAGGAGAGCCACATTCTCGGGACTGGAATCATAAAGAGGGTGTGGAGCATCTTGAGGCACCAAGTTCACCATTACATGGTGAGCGGGTGAGAGAATAGTCTTGGGCTCTGGAAAACAGTGAATTGAATTATTGTATCATAAAGTCTATGCACTGTAATTTGTGTATTTACACACTCAGTTAAAGAAGGTACAGTATTATGTTGTGTAGAACTGTCACAATGTATTGTATAGTATAGGGGGTAAGCAGCACAAAGGACCATGTCCTTGGTTCAAAATCAAGGAACCTGGGTTCAGACTCCGGGTAGGACAGCAACAGTTGGGCATATTTCCTTTCACTTATAATAATAATAATAATTTATTTAGGAACAGTACATACATAGTTGCAGCGTTACAGTACAAACATTCTGTTAGATTTAAAGATAGAGGTAGTACATATAATACCTAAAGCCACTAGTACGCATAGCGTTTCGGGTAAGGAGAGGTGGGGAAAAAACACTTATACTAAAACTTAATAGTAATTGAGCTTAAAGTATAAATTGTGTTGAAGGAAAAAAAATAATAATAAAAGATAAAAAAAAAGGGGGGGGGGAACATGGTAGAAAATAGCCAATATACAAGTTGGTCAACAAACAGCATTTTTTTTTTTTTTTTTTTTTTTGTAAATAGTAAGACATGGGTTGACATTTAGAAGTAAGGTAGGTTACATGGAGTTAATTAGGTAGTACTTAGTTTTCATCTTAAACTGGTTGAGAGAGGTACAATCTTTGACATAATTGGGAAGGCCATTCCACATTCTGGGTCCCTTGATTTGTAGAGCATTCCTAGTTTGATTAAGTCTAACTCTTGGAATATCAAATAGGTATTTGTTTCTGGTGTGGTGCACATACTTGATACCTGTGTTCACCTAGCAGTTAAACAGGTGCCTGCAGTTAGCTAATTGGTGTTGAGTTGCATCCTGGAAAAGGTCCGTAGTCAGCCTACGGCACCTCTGAATGCCTAAGTACAGACTTGCACTCCCTGGCAACCGGAATTACATGTATTGTAGCTTATTGAAAGGAGCGAAATCATATAATTGCTGTTCAAATGTATAACTACCAAATAATGCATCAATACCTGTACTACATGGCTTCACATCACTGTAGCAAGGAACGAGAGACATCTTATAATTACATTATCAGACGTGTAAAGGCATGTTAATAAGTACTGTATGTTAAAATTTATGAATGCGTCTGGGAAGGACAGCCACTGCTTTAAACAGCCTAGTGTGAGGACAAGTTGTAGTGTGATACTCTCTGTGTATTATTATTATTATTATTACACAGAAAAATCACATTAATGTGATATATCAAACAACAAATCCACAGGAGCCTTGATGAGGGTTCGAACCTAAGTGTTGAGTGTTTCTAGACGCACTTTAGTCAACTGTACTACGACATGGTCAAAAGAATTGCAACCTGGAGTGCTACTGCACTCACGTTGCAATTCACTCACGAGTTGCAAGCAACTCTCCAAGTTGCAATTCTTTTGACCCTGTCATGGTACAGTTGATGAGAGCGGGTCTGGGAATACTCGGCGCATGGGTTTGAACCCTCATCAAGGCTCCTGTGGACTTGTTCTATTATTATTATTATTATTATTATTATAAAAGAAGAATTTTATGAGCATTTCTAACATTCCTACATAAATGAAATTAAATAAACACAGTACATACTATATGTAGATGAGTAGTCTTGGAAGGTAAGGGCCCGGTCCCAGAAAGCCAGGAGCGAGGGGTTAGCCTCCTCCACAAGCAGGGGGATGCTGGGGAGTGTCAGTGTTGCCTCTGCCACAGATGCTTCCTTGGAGATCAATGGGGTATCTACTGCAGATGTTGGTAGTTCTGATTCACTTGTGGGATGCTCTTTTCTAACTGAGGGTTCATCTATTTCAAATGTGGGTAATTTTGCTTCAAAGGTAGGCTCGTGTGTTTCAGAGGTGGGTACTTCTGCTTCAAAGGTAGGCTCGTGTGTTTCAGAGGTGGGTACTTCTGCTTCAAAGGTAGGCTCGTGTGTTTCAGATGTGGGTACTTCTGCTTCAAAGGTAGGCTCTTGTGTTTCAGATGTGGGTACTTCTGCTTCAAAGGTAGGCTCGTGTGTTATAGATGTGGGTACTTTTGCTTCAAAGGTAGGCTTGTGTGTTTCAGATGTGGGTACTTCTGCTTCAAAAGTAGGCTCATTTGTTTCAAAGATGGATACTTCTGCTTCAGAGATGGGTAAATCCACTTCAGGAACTTGTAATTTTGTCTCAGGAACGACCTCAGGAACTGGATTTGCTTGAGTCAGGGATTCATTTACTTCAGACACTAGAGTTTCTGCTTCAGAGTCTTGTGCTTCTGAGACTAGTACTGGTGCCTTTTCTCCATGGTGTAGTAATTCTTCTGGCACTAGTGCCTCTTCTCCAAGGTCTGGTACTTCTACAGGCACTGATGCCTCTTCTCTAAGATCTGTTACTTCTACATGCAATGGTGCCTCTTCTCCAAGTTCTGGTGCATCTAAAAGCACTGGTGCCTCTTTATGTTTTGGCACCTCTACAGGCACTGGTGCCTCTTCTATATGTTCTGGCACTTCAACAAGCACTGGTGCCTCCTCACGTTCTGGCAATGCTACAGGCACTGGTGCCTCTTCTATATGTTCTGACACTTCAACAAGCACTGGTGCCTCCTCACGTTCTGGCAATGCTACAGGCACTGGTGCCTCTTCTATATGTTCTGGCACTTCAACATGCACTGGTGCCTCCTCACGTTCTGGCAATGCTACAGGCACTGGTGCCTCTTCTATATGTTCTGACACTTCAACAAGCACTGGTGCCTCCTCACGTTCTGGCAATGCTACAGGCACTGGTGCCTCTTCTATATGTTCTGGCACTTCAACAAGCACTGGTGCCTCCTCACGTTCTGGCAATGCTACAGGCACTGGTGCCTCTTCTATATGTTCTGACACTTCAACAAGCACTGGTGCCTCCTCACGTTCTGGCAATGATACAGGCACTGGCGCCTCTTTTATATGTTCTGACACTTCAGCAAGCACTGGTAACTCCTCCCGTTCTGGCAATGCTACAGGCACTGGTGCCTCTTCTATATGTTCTGACACTTCAACAAGTACTGGTGCTTTTTCTATATATTCTAATGCTTCTGCTTCCAAAATGGGTGCCTCTGACTCAGACATGTCTACCTTTGCTGCAGATTCTGATACATCTGCTTCAAACCCTGGTTGGTGAGCTTTGGGCACTGGAGCTTCAATCGATATTGGTATTTCATATGTTTCAGACAATGGGAATTCTTCCTCAAACACCAGTGTTTCTGTTTCACGTTCTTGCAATGCTGCTTCAGACAGATTAACATTTGTTTCAGACAGTGGAACATTTTCTTCAGACAGTAGAACCTCTCTTTCAGACAGTGGAACATTTGTTTCAGACAGTGGAACATTTGTTTCAGTCAGTAGAACATTTGTTTCAGACAATGGAACTTCTGCTTCAGACAGTGGAACATTTATTTCAGACAATGGATCCTCTGATTCAGACAGAGGAACGTTTATTTCAGACAGCTCAACCTCTGCTTCTGACAGTGGAACATTTATTTTAGGCAATGGAACCTCTGCTTCAGACAGTGTAGCCTCCGATTCAAGATCTGCTTCAGGGTATGAAATCTCTGCTTCAGAAAGTGGAACCTTTGCTTCAGACCATGAAACATTTCTTTCAGACAGTGGTACCTCTGCTTTAAGGTCTGAAATCTTTGCTTCATGCAGTGGAACCTCTGTTTCAGACAGTGCTACTTCTGCTTCATAGAGTGGTACCTTGTATTCTACCACAGGCACCCTTTCTTCCAAAACCTTTATCTCTGCTTCAGATAATGGCAACTCTGCTTCAAATACCAGGTCATATGGTGCAGACATTGGTATTTCTGCTTCAGATAGTGGCACATCTGCTTCAGATAGTGGCACATCTGCTTCAGATAGTGGCACATCTGCTTCAGATAATGGCACATCTGCTTCAGATAGTGGCACATCTGTTTCAGATAGTGGCACATCTGCTTCAGATGGTGGCACATCTGCTTCAGATAATGGCACATCTGCTTCAGATAATGGCACATCTGCTTCAGATAGTGGCTCTTCTGCTTCTGATTCTGATATGTTGCCTTCACGTGCTAGAACCTCTGGTTTGGACAGTGGTATCTCCATGTCAGATACCAGCACACCTTTGTCAAACACTGGTGATCCTCCTTCAAACGCTGGCACCCTTTTGACAGACACTAGTGATCCTTCTTCAAATGCTGGCACCCCGCCATCAGACACTAGTGCTTCTCCTTCAAACGCTGACACCCCTTCATCATACACTGGTGCTTCCCCTTCAAACGCTGACACCCCTTCATCATACACTGGTACTTCTCCTTCAAACGCTGACACCCCTTCATCATACACTGGTGCTTCTCCTTCAAATGCTGACACCCCTTCATCATACACTGGTGCTTCCCCTTCAAACGCTGACACCCCTTCATCATACACTGGTGCTTCCCCTTCAAACGCTGACACCCCTTCATCATACACTGGTGCTTCCCCTTCAAACGCTGACACCCCTTCATCATACACTGGTGCTTCCCCTTCAAACGCTGACACCCCTTCAACAGACACTGGTGCTCCTCCTTCAAATGCCGGCACCCCTTCATCATACACTGGTGCTTCCCCTTCAAACGCTGACACCCCTTCATCATACACTGGTGCCTCCCCTTCAAACGCTGACACCCCTTCAACAGACACTGGTGCTTCCCCTTCAAATGCTGGCACCCTTTCAACAAACACTGGTGCTTCCCCTTCAATTGCTGGCACCCTTTCAACAAACACTGGTGCTTCCCCTTCAATTGCTGGCACCCTTTCAACAGACACTGGTGCTCCTCCTTCAATTGCTGGCACCCTTTCAACAGACACTGGTGCTCCTCCTTCAATTGCTGGCACCCCTTCAACAGACACTGGTGCTTCCCCTTCAATTGCTGGCACCCTTTCAACAGACACTGGTGCTCCTCCTTCAATTGCTGGCACCCCTTCAACAGACACTGGTGCTTCCCCTTCAATTGCTGGCACCCTTTCAACAGACACTGGTGCTTCCCCTTCAATTGCTGGCACCCTTTCAACAGACACTGGTGCTTCCCCTTCAATTGCTGGCACCCCTTCAACAGACACTGGTGCTTCCCCTTCAATTGCTGGCACCCTTTCAACAGACACTGGTGCTCCTCCTTCAATTGCTGGCACCCCTTCAACAGACACTGGTGCTTCCCCTTCAATTGCTGGCACCCTTTCAACAGACACTGGTGCTTCCCCTTCAATTGCTGGCACCCTTTCAACAGACACTGGTGCTTCCCCTTCAATTGCTGGCACCCCTTCAACAGACACTGGTGCTTCCCCTTCAATTGCTGGCACCCTTTCAACAGACACTGGTGCTTCCCCTTCAAATGCTGGCACCCTTTCATCAGACACTGGTGATCCTCCTTCAGACACTGGCACCCCTTCATCAGTCACTGGCACCTCTACTGCAGATTCTGTAATAAATATTATCTTGCCTTAATTCTTGCAGGAAAGTATTTATTTGGGGGATAACCTACAATAAACAATGAATACAAAGTGACTAAAATTACTTATACAGTATATGTTATATCTATAATGTTTTCTCCCCGTAAAAAGTATTGTAAAGATGCACTTATTCACTCAGTGATGCTTGACTATTAATAAAAAGAAAGAGGAATTACATCTACTGTCCAAGAGATATTATATTTATTTACTGTATACCTGTACATATATATGTTGTACCTAATAGTCAGAGTGCACTACTTGGCCTAGTATGCAAGGCCTGATTTGCCCAACAGGCAGATTGATTTTTATATTATTTTCAAATATTTCCTTTCAAATTGGTGAAGAGTGCTGGAGCAAGGGAGTGGGAGACACACACATGGGCCCTGTGGCACAGTGGTCGGTGCAATCACGCCACAGTAGGAAAGTTTCAGGTTTAACTCCCCCCATCCCCCCCAGCAGGAGGTTATCTTGAGATGATTTCGGGGCTTAGCGTCCCCGCGGCCCGGTCCTCGACCAGGCCTCCTTTTTGTTACACATTCCCGGGAAGCAGCCCGTAGCAGCTGTCTAACCCCCAGGTACCTACAGTATTTACTGCTGGGTGAACAGGTGCATCAGGGTGAAAGAAACTCTGCCCATTTGTTTCTGCCTCCACCAGGAATTGAACCCGGAACCTCAGGACTACGAATCCTGAGCGCTGTGCACTCAGCTTTCAGGACAAAAGCATTTGGACATTGTTTCCTTTCACCTAAAGCTAAAGTTCAATTAGCAGCAAATAGGTACACAGGAGTTAGTTTTACTTGATTTACTGGAGGGGCCACTAATCCTAGTGGCCTTGACGAGGACAGGAAGCCAGCGGCTTGTCAAAAGTCCCCCCCCCCATTTGCCTTGATCTTTTCCAGGTATATATTAAACCTCAACTCAGTTTTGGCGGTTGCGAATTTGGCGGGTAGGCAGTTCCATGGGTTAATAAGCCTGTGGGTGAAAAAGCACCTCCTGTTCTCAGTCCTACATTGTGGTTTGTTGAGCTTGAAACCATTGCTCCTTGTTTGTGTTACATCTGACCTTCTGAAGAAAATATCCGGATCAATAACCTCTAACTTGTTCAGTATTTTAAAAGTTTCAGTGAGCTCCACCCTGTCATGCCTGGTTTGCAGTGTTATATAACTATAGCAAAAAATGCAAATAAAACAGGAACAAGTAGAAATCATGCCCGAAACGCTTTGCGTAATAGTGGCTTTAGGCATTGTATGTACTAGCTCTACCTATAAGTCAACCAATCTTTGTAAAAATTTCTTGTATGTATGTACCTTACCTAAATAAACATTTATTTATTATTTTATTTATAAATGAACTAAGAATCAATGTAATTAGACAAGTAGAATACATATGACAAATAAAAATAAGGATTCAATAAAGAATGACTATGTTTAGAACAAAATAAACTTAGCAAATTACTAAAATTGACACTAATTTTTTTTATTATTCAAATCAAATCAAATCAAATGTTTATTCAGGTAAAAGTACATACATGGAAGCTTAGTTACAAACATAATGTTGGATTTATAGATAGAGCTAGTACATTCAATACCTAAAGCCACTAGTACGCATAGTGTTTTGGGCAAGAGCCTTTTTTTCGAGCACTCATTATTATTATTATTATTATTATTATTATTATTGAACAAATCCACAGGAGCCTTGGTGAGTGTTCCCAGATGAGCTTTAGTCAACTGCACCACGACATGGTTCATGTACCCACGACCATGTCATTGTATAGTTGACTAGAGCACGTCTGGTAACACTCGGTGCATGGGTTCGAACCTTTATCACGGCTGTGAATTTGTTCTTTGATATATCACGTTATTAATGTAATTTCCCTGTGTATTATTATTATTAAGATGTGGTCCCTTCAGTCCTCTGATCAACACATAATACAAAAATAAAATATGCTTCATGCTCACCAAATTGATTAGTGAAGTAGTTCGTGTTGACTCTCGAGTTCAGTCGCTCAAAAGCCTCCCCTACTCTTGCCCGATGGTCAAATAGGAAGTCAGTCAGAATGTAAACTTGAGTTCCATCAGTCAGTTCCTCAGCTGTTTCTATTGGGATGCCATTTACACTGACAGTTCCTGAAATTATAGCTAATGTTAGATAAGATATAAAATGTAAATGAATATCAGAATATTTATGTTCAGTGAACATTGTCTATTTTGATGGCTTCCTGTCAGAATAGGCTTTAAATATATTTGTCTTTTGTGAAGTGCCAAACATCTTTAATTTTTACAACTTACCAACAGCGTGTATTTTAAATGTATAATATTTCATGGAGAAGCCACCAGGACTCACCTGGAAATTGGCATTTCATTGCATTCAACTGTTTTTTTTCAACGAAGTACCAAACATTGCCTAATTTCACTACTCACCATCGGCATGTGCTTTAAATGTGAGTTTCTTCCCGGCAAGGTTGGTTACAGTGATACCCTCTGGAGCGGTTGTCCTGGGATCATGGGTGTCCAAAGGGTCCTGAACAAGGTAGTCAAGTAGGAACTCTGTTCGGAGAGCTACATTCTCATCACTGTCGTCATACAGAGGGTGCGCTACATCTTGAGGTACCAAGTTCATCATTGTGAAGAAGTCGGGTGATAGAAGCATCATAGGGACTGTTGAAGCAATGAAGCCAGGTGATAGAAGCCTCACAGAGACTATTGAAACTAAGGTGGTGAGTGAAAGAATCAAAGATACAGTAATTGAAGCTAAAATATTGCCCTTAATTAAAAACTAAACAATACTATATATGCATAAATTTATACTTAATGAAAATAAGAAAACAAGACAAGGCTTACATAATAATAATGGAGGTTGAAGGCAAATTTACAGTTTAATAAATCCTATGTCTTTACTTACAGGTAGCCTAGTGTTTCTGTTTTGAAATCCTTAATTCTCAATATAAAATATTAGTTACCTAAAAGCTTTTTAAGATGACTGTGGACTTAAACACCAGGTATGGTGTTTTCACACATTTCAGTTCTACTATGAGTTTCAAACATCTTCTTGAAGATATAGTCGTACCACTAACGAGACAAACTTTAAGACATTCTTCTCAACGTTGAATAATATACAAAATTATTAATATTTTGCATTCCCACTGTCATAGTTAGCTAAATGAATTGTGGGGTTCAGTCCCTGAGCCCGTTATGTGCCTCTGTAACCCTTTCCACTACTGCCCACAAGATGGGTATGGGGTGCATAATAAATGAACTAAACTAAACTAACTTAAACTGTCATATACAGGAAGCCAGTTAGGGTTACTGTGGTCTCTTTGACTAGGACAAGAGCTAAACATGGAATAAAACCCATGTTCAAAATAAACCACAAATGAAAGGTGAAAATGGAATTGTTATTACCATTAACTGTTATAAATAACATGTAGTGGGCTGATCAGAGGCTTAAGGCCTGCACAGGAATGTTCTTAAAAACAAAAAAGAAACTAACAAACCTTGTGCGTCTCTGAGAGAGAGCGAAGAATCTTGGCTCCAGAGTGCATGGCGCCACAGGTTGAGTAATGGCAGGGAATCATCCTCCTCCACAACTTGGGGTATTTCAGGCACGACTGCCACATTATGAGCCGCTGGTGTCTCATTTATGGGTTCTGACACCTCAAGTTCTAGGAGTAATTTCAATTCACTCATTATCTACAGTTATATAACGGGGCTCACCATAGCCTGTGCTACTTGGAACTTTTTGTTCCAGGTAGCAAATCTTTAACAACAACAACATACAGTTATACCCAAAGTGCTGCATGTAGTTACAAGTTTTCATAAAATATACAAAAACTGTACCTACTAAGTCTGTAAGGGATACATTGTATATCTAATAATATAATTTTATTGTATTAATAGTAGTAGTAGTAATAATAATAATAATAAATCCAGCAAGAAATTATATGAACTGAGGCTAAAATTACTTATTATTGTTCATTTATTTTTGTTTCATTTTGGTCCTTCACTGTATTGAGTTGCAAGATACAGCTGATGTACCTCCATTGATGTGGGGTAAAATATGAGCGATGAGTTGTAGTTTTGTTGAAATGAAAGCATGACGTTTCTTAGGTATCTTTGCAAAACCTAATTAAATGTGTGAAATAGGAAATGTTAAGGAAATAGCACTTTGATCTTAAAATGAAAACTTCATCCTGACATCAAAAAGACAAATTTTGATGGAAGGATGAAGTTTGTATTGTAATTTTGAATATGTATTGAACATTTAAAATACATATCATAAAGCAAGCTAAAAATTATCAATTTATTCATTACTATGGACCATCAAATCCTACCTCGCGCACTTGGAAGTGGAACGATGCCCACAGCAAGATTCTCTCTAAGGAGCTGCTTGAAGGCATCCTCCACCAGAGCTCTGTGGTCAAAGAGGAATTCATCGACAGTGTACACCACAGTCCCGTCTGGCAGCTGCTCCACTTGAGTCGCGCTAATGCCATTCACAGTCATCTTTCCTGGAGACATAACAAATGGGAGTAAGTGGGGACATGAGGGTAATGCCATTTATAGTCATCTTTACTGCTGGGATAACACACTCAAGTTAAGTTTGAAATGCTGTTCATGTCATTAACAGCATTAATTGTACAGTATTTCTTACAATTAAAAAAGATGTGAGTTGGGGGGGGATGTGGTAAGGCACACTAAATCTTTATCAGTAAATATACAGTACAGTATATTATTCTGTAAACATAATATATCTATAATTTTATCTACCTGTGAGTTAATCTATTAATATATCTATTAACATTGCTTCAATCACAGCACAATAGGAAAACAACAGGAATACTTAACCAATATGCCTCCACACACACTCTGCCATCTATTAACAAACAAAGAGCAAGGATGTCCAATGAACCAAGACGCTTTAGTATTAAAAACATTAATTAATAATTGCGGGTGTCAAAATCCAGAAGCCTTGAGAATGATTGGTTTTGCTTAATAAAAGATGTGGTGTGGAATACAGAAATAAAATTGAAATACGTACAGTAATTGCACTGAAATAACAATCTCGGCAGCAAACCACTTATTTGAATTTAACATTTATAAAGACTATAAAACGAATACCTGCACTGTACAACATTGTTTTGTAAAAATTAAATTCTTCCTAACTAGCCTGCTCACATTTTTGGAAATGACAACCAACTACACAGTTAAAGAACTTCAAATCAATTTAGCATACAAGGATTTCCTCTAAAGCTTTTGATAAGCAATCACATGAAAGACTAACACACACAAACTGCAAGGACATGGAATAAATGGATAAACAATTGTTAAAACAAAGAAAGCAAAAGTTCATTCTAAATGGATATAAATCTTGCTGCAAAAATGTTAAGTTCAGTACCACAAAGTTCCATCTTGGGGGCCAACCCTTTTTTGCAATATACATCAATGACATAGATGATTAAATTATATATGCATCATCAAATTTAGGGATGAAGCAAAGATCTATGGTTAAGAAGGAAGCAAAAATGATATAGAGGCCATACAAAGGCCTCGATATGGTCAGATGACTGGAAAAGCTTTTCAAAACTGAAAAATGCAAGATCATTTGCATTTTGACATGTAGCCCATTGTTGATGTGATGATTTATATTGAATTTTGTAACTAGCTCATCAAGATTGTAACTTGCTTAGCTAAATGAATTGTGGGGTTCAGTCCCTGAGCCCATTATGTGCCTCTGTAACCCTTTCCACTACCGCCCACAAGATGGGTATGGGGTGCATAATAAATGAACTAAACTAAAAAAAAAAAAAAACTAGAGCATAACAACATAAATCATAATTATCATATCAACAACACTGCAATGCAGAAGATTGATGAAAAAAGATTCTAGGAGTTATGATGATTTTTTCAAGCTAGACTTTAAAATTCAGCAGTATTTATCATTTATGGCTTTGGCGAATCGGCAGTTCCATGGGTTAATAACCCTTTGGGTGAAAAAGAATCTCCAAAACTTGAATATGTAGCATTGGTGTGGTACCCAAATCTCAAGAAGAAAATGTACAATTTATAAAGGATGCCAAGACCTGCTACTAAATGACCCCCAGAACTAAAAAACATTTGCTATGAGGAGAGGCTTGAGGCATTAAACATGTCAAGGATAGAGGATAGGAAGAAAACGAGGGGATATGATCACTATATACAAAATACTGTAGTAACAGGAATAACAAAATAAATGAAGAGGAATTTTTCAAATTTACAATTTAAAGACAAGAGGTCATAGATTCAATCTAAGGAAACAAAATCATCCTTCCCAGTGCTATATACAGTACTTATATTGGTTTGATACTTTCTCCTGATAGTTCCCTTCCCTTCCCTCTTGCAAAAAGAGTGGTAGACAGTTGAAACAAGTGAGAAGACCCAAGTTGAAGTGAGAACGCCCAAGTGGTAGACAGATGAAACAAGTGAGTGGTTTTGGCTGATGCCAAAACCATCAGTAGTTTCAAAGTGCTATATGACAGTTTCAAAGATAGATGACAGAGTACTGTACAAGGAAGATGGGACATCACAATCATAACTCTCATCCTGTAACTACACTTAGGTAATTACGCAACTTTGATAGCATTCTTCTCTTCTTCTAATAGCTACTGGGATAATAACCAAATTCATATTTTAGTTAATTACCATCAGCATCTCTCTTGAAGGTAAGAGTTTTCCCAGCAAGGTTGGTAACAGTGAGCCCATCTGGTTGGGCCAGCCTGGGGTCATTGGCCCTTATCGGGTCATGCACAAAGTAGTCAAGCAGGAAACGTGCACGTAGGGCCGAGTTGCGGTCGCTGTTGTCGTAGAGAGGGTTGGGAGCATCCTGAGGAATCAAGGTTACCATCACCCCATGGCCAGGTGATACCACGGTCCCTGGAACTATTGATCAGATTTAAGTAATGAATACTTGTTTTACCTAGGAATTCTCCACTCTTCTTCTTCTACACCATGCATGTATGTATTTGTGTCTAAATCAAATCAAATCAAATGCTTATTCAGGTAAAAGTACATACATACAAGATGAGTTACAAACATAATGTTGGATTTCTAGATAGAGCTAATACATACAATGCCTAAAGCCACTAATACGCACAGCGTTTCAGGCAAATAAATAAATTATTATTATTAAGATGAATTGTTTACGAGATGTGAATATAAGATAATACTTGCATATATATACTACTGTACCTGTATTGATTATGAGAGATATGGTTCATACTAGGTATCCATGCTTAAAATCTAGTCAAATGTCTCTAGAATGAGTTATTTTCATGAATTTACCTGAAGATCACCATCTTCAGTGGCCTCAACAGGGGCAAGGAGCTGACAGCTTATCAAAGGTCCCATCCCTCATTGTTTTTGAAGATTTGATTCCATCTGAATTTTAAATTGAAATGCTGCCCTAGCATTTATAGTTATACTATAGTTAGAAAGATAATTGAAACTGGTATGCTGTAGGAGATACAAATAATTGTTGTCTGGTTGATACCTGGTTACCTGGTTGATGGGGTTCTGGGAGTTCTTCTACTCCCCAAGCCCGGCCCGAGGCCAGGCTCGACTTGTGAGAGTTTGGTCCACCAGGCTGTTGCTTGGAGCGGCCCGCAGGCCCACATACCCACCACAGCCCGGTTGGTCCGGCACTCCTTGGAGGAATAAATCTAGTTTCCTCTTGAAAATGTCCACGGTTGTTCCGGCAATATTTCTTATGCTTGCTGGGAGGACGTTGAACAACCGCGGACCTCTGATGTTTATACAGTGTTCTCTGATTGTGCCTATGGCACCTCTGCTCTTCATTGGTTCTATTCTACATTTATATCTATTCTACATTGTCTGATATTGTTCTAATCTGTGTGGATAAAATATTGTAAGGAAAGGATCACAGAACTTCTCATATTTCTGTGTTTGTGTATAGTTGCCTAATTCATTTGTTATACTATGTTGTACTTTACTCTTATGTTCTTTTTACACACATTCATCATCATTATTGATCAAATCCACAGGAGCCATGATGAGGGTTTGAACCTATGTGCTGGGTGTTCCCAGATGCACTCTCTAGTCAACTGCACCACGACATGGTCAAAAGAATTGCAACCTGGGGTACTACTGCACCCACAAGGATCCCGAGGCTTCCGCTGAAGCCGAATTTGTGGATTTGTTCATTGATATATCACGATAATGTACTGTGATTTCTCTGTGTATCATCATTATTATTATACTGTACTAGAAGCTCTGGAGATGCTCGCATGTTACTGAGAAGCAAGGATGTGGTTGCAATGAAGCATAAGTTTGAATAATGCAGAGTCTAGATTGAATAATCCTGCCCCCCCCCTTTTATTTTACTGTATTGCCATATACTTCTTGACTTTTTGCATGTGTTACCTGTAGGCCAAACCTAAGTTGTAGAGTGTAAATTCTCATGTAAATTTAATGGGGAGACCTTTGATAAGCCACCAGCTTCCTGACCTCATCAGGGTCAATAAGAGTTTTAGCGGCCCTCAGGTAAAACTTAGGAAAATGTGTAGTCCCCAGCCTCGATCCTTAATTTTTAAATTAAAGATATGGATGTAGGTAGTGACTCAGAATGTTATTGTTTAGTGATAGAGTTTTAGATGTTCTTCAATTACCCAAACAAAATAATTTTATTCAAGTATGCTAAAGTGAAATACACATACATTATTTAAAAATGGCGAGTTGCCCGAGTAAGATGGGCCCCTCACTTGGCTCTCGTACCAATTCAAGCTGGTGATTTGACAAGGAGTGCTGCATGCCAGTCTTCCTTCTTGACTTAGATTTACAATTCTCTAATCCAGATAAGCCACTCATATCATTCATACTCCTTCAGTGTTAATTACAGACCTAAATCCATTTGTTACAGCACAAAGGTTGTTTTGAAAGGCCAAGAATTCATCTCCCCTTATGAAAGTTACAATAAATATTTAAAAGTTTCAATAAATATTTGTATTTGTTCTCAACACTTTTTATTCTTTATGCTCAATTAGTATTAAGTTCTAGATATTAATGTTTTTCTTGCCCGAAACGCATTGCGTAATAGTGGCTTTAGGCATTGTATGTACTAGCTCTATCTATATATCAATCCAGTAATGTAACATCACTTGTATGTATGTACCTTACCTGAATAAACATATTTATTTATTTATTTATTTATTTATAACATTCTTACATGAGCTAATGCTACTTACTGACAATTATCTTGAACTAAAATATATACTGTATGCATATTATGATGGAGTTATTTATGTAATTGCACACTAACATTGATGGTCGATGTACATACCACGGATGAAACAACCTTGGTTGATATAGGCAACTGAAGGAATAATTATAGCCTACCATCTACAAGTCCTAGACAGAACTACCAGCTTACACCACCCCTTCTGCTTCAGCTAGCTAATGTAAACAGTTAAAAATAACATGAAATTTGAGGATTAAACCTATTAGGGGAAGTATCACCTGTGGAGTCATTAGTGGCAACAGCAGATCCTTGGTTTCTTAAGGTGTGACGCCAGAGATTGTACAGGGAGGAGGTCCTGGACTCCAGGGTGGCTGGCATAGGTGGAACCACCAGCAACAAGCTCTCAGCCTGGAAGTGTTTGATAAAGGAATAGCAATACTACTTTACTTTCAAAAAAACATATCCAGATCACATCAAGACATATGCAATATAACATACTGCTCATATTAGCATAATTCTTTATCAAAATAGCAGAGTGATAGTTTTCATAATTTCATGACGTACCTGCTCCGAATCGCTAGGTGATTCAACATCAGCTTCTGGTGCATCAGGAAGCAGGACTGTACTCGATTCTTCTGTTCTGGTTGTTGATTCTTGAGCTACATAAATGGAGACATATCCTTTGAGATTAGTATGAAACATCCATAATTATTTAATATGTACTGCATAACAATTATGGTTCACTTGTCTGGGGCAGTCTATTTGACTTATTGGAACCCACTTGGGCTAATGACAGACTTTTCCCAAGATGCAACTCAGAATAGCCACCTAACTCACAATTACATATTACTGCTAGGTGAACAGAGTCATCAAATGCAAGGAAACGTGCTTAAATGTCTCCTTCTGTCTGAGATTCTAACTAGGGTTCAATAAATTATGAAAATCGACTGCATTATTCATTATGTTAAAGGACATAATGAGTAATGCATTACTCATTATGTTTTGTTAAAGGATAATGAAGCATGCAAGACCAGCTGGCTGCTCACCTTGATCCCAAGTGTCGGGAGTGAGGGTGGTGTCTGGGTTGTCGAGCGGGGGTGAGGACTGGTATACTATGGCTCTGTGGTCAAAAAGGAAGTCACTCAGAATGTAAACTTGCGTCCCGTCAGGAAGGATCTGATGACCCACCACAGGGATGTCGTTGACCACAATGTTACCTGAAGGACAAATTAATTTTGTGTTAACAAGATGGCTAGTGGAGCAAAGTATTATTTTATACAATCGTGTCTGAATATGAAACATGTTTGTGGTACATTTAGTCTCGACTCTAACATGGCAGGTATCAGCGGAAATGGTCAGAGAGCTCAAGGAGACCAACCACTTTGGACTTGCCTTATGAGTATGTAAACACAGTGTTTGTGCCTCTCATGCCTTCCTTATGTACTCACCTAACTGTACTCACCTAATTGTGCTTGCAGGGGTTGAGCTCTGGCTCTTTGGTCCCGCCTCTCAACTGTCAATCAACAGGTGTACAGGTTCCTGGATTACTCATGACATGACATGTATGACTGGTGACTTGCATTTACCTAACCCTTGTCTGGTGAATGTGTGAAGACTAAGAAAGATGTAACTATAGAAGTACTGTAATGCATAGCATACTAAAGAAAAAATGCCACTGGAGATTTTATCTACCTGAATTTATCCGAGGGCCACTATTTCTCTAGTGGCCTCGATGGGGACAGGAAGCTGGCAGCTTGTCAAAGGTCCCCCCAGTTTTTCTCGAGTATTTTTTCCAACTGAACTTTGATCTGCAGTACTGTCTTGACATTTATGGCTTCGGCAAGCAGGCAGGCAGTTCCATGGGTTTATAACCCTATAAGTGAAAAAGCATCTTCTGTTTTCTGTCCTACATTTTGGCTTTTCGAGCTTGCAAATGGTACCCCTTGTATGTGTTACACCTGACCTTTTAAATAAGTAGTTTGGATTAATATCCTCTAACCAGTTAAATATTTTTATAATTTCAATATCAGCTCTGCTATGTCTGGTTTGCAGTGCTGTTAGTCCTGTGGCCCTTAACTGTTCCTGGTATGAGAGTCCACTTAGTTTTGAGATGATTTTTGTTGCTCTGTGTTGAACTGTCTTCAAAGTAGCTATATCATCCTACAGATGAGGTCCCCATGCATGGACACAGTAGCCCAAATAGGAGTGCACCAGAGATTTATTTATTTAATTTTTATATATACAAGAAGGTGCAATGGGTATTGAAAGTACAAACATTGGTAATTAAGTGTCGTCAAATACATGTATGGGAAAAGCTCACCCCTTCGTGTTATCACAACATTCTAAGATGAATTACAATTATAGGAACCCATGTAAAGGTCTAGGATGATAACTTTCTGGAATTCTGTCGAGGAGCCTATCATGGAATGAGAGAGGAATTACAAAACACCTCCTGGATGGAGTTCAGATAAGATCAAGTCATGGAAGTATTATGGGAAACTTAAAAAAAGGTCATCACTGAACTTGTTCAAAAATATGTACCAAGAAAGAGTAAGAAAAGAAAGAGAACACACAGGCAGTAAAACAAGCTCTAATAACTAAGTGAAACCTCTGGCATTTCACTTAGAGTGATTTCTGAAATCAATCCACAAAGAAGAACATGGATTATGAGATACTGTATACAGAAAGACTTTAAATTCAGCCACCCAAAAATCAAATAAGCCAAAAGGACTACTCTCCCGTGGTAAGTCTCCAAGTGAGCCAGGACCTGGAGCAACAGCTGAACTGGAGGGAAGAAGGAAAAGGTGTTCAAAACATAAAGAATGATCCAAAGTCTTTCTATGTCAAATTAAGGGACCTAGTCTATGGAACTCACTCCCTAGTGAATTGAAAAACTGTAAAACTTTTGCCTTATTTAAAAGCAAAACCAAAAAGTACCTAACTTCATCTATTTAGTTTCCTACACTGAGCTTTAAATTTGCTCTGTACCTAGTGGTACCCAATCTCCTAATTTTTATGTAATATCAAACAACCTTATCATTGTGTTCATTGCTGTCTTCTTTTATGTGCTAGCCATATGCTGTATTGTGACTACCAATTTTTGTCAACTACCATTCAAGCTGTCATTGCAATCAATCTTATATTGTTTCTGCTGTATTGTGCCTACCAATTTGTTGTCAACTACCATTTTAAGCTGTCATTGCAATCAATCATAGCTACCTATGTGCTTTAATATACTGTACCTATAATTTTCTCTCATCTTTTTTTTTTTTTTTTCATTCCATGTAATCTGTTATCATTTTTTTTGTCTATAAATTTTGCAAGTATTTACCTCCTTAAAATTTTCTTAGATTAAGGACCTGCCCGAAACGCTGCGCGTGCTAGTGGCTTTACAAGACTGTAATTACCATAATTGTATCCTCACATTCCTTATGTACATTCTTGTATATGCATAAATAAATAAATAAAATAAATAAATAAATAAATGTCTATATACGAAGTAAAACCAAAACAAAAGACTCAGTAAAAACTTTAAAATTTGAGATCAACCAAGTTGTAACAGACGATTAAAGGGCAGCCAGCACTCTGAATAAAAACGTTACATCAGTGTTTACACTAGAGATTGGATAACATCCCATTACTCAACACAAATGTATGAAGCAGGTGAAGAGAGCAAATAACGTGCAATGTAATCAGGAAGACCATTGACAAACTAAAATGACTCGAAAGCCCCAGGTGTGGATGGAATTCAATCCAAAGTCATAAAGGAACTGGCAAAGAAAATATGCCTACCACTGAAATTTCTTTTCAGAAAATCTCTGGGCCAAGGAATAGTTCCCCCCTAGATTGGAGATATGCAAATGTTACCCCTATTTCAAAAAGGCAGAAAGATCTCAGCAGAAAACTATCATCCAATCAGCTTGACCTCACACATCTGCAAACTCATGGAGAGAATCATAAGGCTTCCTGTCAGCTTCCTGTCCCCATTAGATATACTGGCCTTCGAGTAAAAAAAAAAAATAAAATAAAAACTCAAGTACAGTATAGTGTAGAAGGTATGGCAGAAGAATGAATTTGTCCTGTGAGATCAGTACATTTGGGGATAAGCCATGTGACCTTAGAGGAAATGATCAGAAGAAAGAATTATAGTTATACAGGAATAATGTCATGCTTTCCTGTCATCCTCACACCTTTGGATGGTAATTCATATGGGAGAACAAGGCAGGCAAGAGATATTTATCGAGATCCATACACAGTAATTGAAATGGTGATCATCAATTATCTCTCACTTTTCTATAAATTTTCCACCTTGTTTCCTTTCCATTTTCCATTCCTATACTTACCAATTCAGGAGTAATGACCACAAAGATCACACCACAACTCACCCTGCTTATCCACCTTGAATGTGAGTTCCTTGCCAGCCATGTTAGTGATGGTGAGCCCCTCGGGTTGAGCCAGCCTGGGATCCTGGTCAATCACGGGATTGAGTACCAAGTAGTCGAGCAGGAACTTAGAACGGAGAGCCTGGTTGTCAGCACTGCTGCCATAGAGCGGGTGAGAGGCATCCTGTACCACCAGCTTCACCACCTCCAGGTAGTCGGGTGACAGAATTGTCATCGGATCTGATGAAAGAGTACAATGAAATCACAAGAACGTGCATATATCTATAAGAAAATATTGAAGTCGTATGGTGGGATCGAACAAACCTAAGAAGTCCAGGGATGCCAATTCAATCCCATTGTATGGCTTCAATATTTTCTCAGGAAAAATGGCAATTGATTATATTTGACCTAAATATATCAGTATGTCAAAGAGAGCAAGAAGAGAGACATATAAAATGAGAAAGAAAGAATGCAAGTCACTTTCAATTAAGGGAAAGAGTGGAGAGAAATCTAAGTTAATGTGAAATTAACATTAAACTGCACTGTTAGGTTTCAGCTTTGGAACCAATTTGTTGGTTAGATTTAGGACTAGGAATCAGTAGGTTTATTATATTTAGGCCTTGGAGCCAATTAGTTGGGTAGTTGGCTAAATTTAGGCCTTGAAAGAGGAAACAATTGGAATAGGATATTAGTGTTCTTCAGAAATTAAATTAATTTTATTCTACTAGATTTACTTCATCATTTAAGAGGCTATAAGCTCATGCAAGGGAGCCCCTATTTATTTTCAAATATTGCCAATCATGTATTTACCCAATCTATATGCATGAAACTGTCAACGGAGTTTGCTTCCATAATGAGGCACCATTATGGCACCTGGTACACAATGAAATCACGATAACATGATCTATGAGAAAATATTCAGACACTGTGGTGAGGTAGAACCAACATGCCTGGACTTCCCGAACAGTGTGTAATGCACGTCTCTGGGAAGTCTATATGGACAAGAGTTCTATCCTACTCTGGTGCCTCATTTTTGTATATGGTGAATTCTAAAGGTACCATGACAGAGCCCTTAGGCACTCCATTTGTAACATTTTCCCACTCTAACTTGGCTCCATTTATGCTGACCCTTTCTTTCCAAGAAAATCCTCTGTATCTTTATTAATCCTTTATCCTCTGTATCTGTATCTGTATCCATTATATCTGTATCCACTATATCTGTATTTTGTGCTATCCGATCCCCCAATATAAGCCATATAACTTTACCTTTGTAATCATTGATATCATCTTATATCATGGTTGTTATATTGAACACATATTGTGTGCTACCCAATCCCCCAATATACATATCTAAGCCTTACAACTTTACCATTAAACATTGCTGTTATCTTATCTTATATGTGATATCAGTGTGCTTTAATGTGCCTACTAATCTTTGTCATATTATCAATCAAGCTATCAATGCTATCAATCAAAGCTTTCAATGTGCTTTAATGTGCCTACTTATCTTTGTCAAATTTTCTAACAATGTACCTATTAACATTTTATAAATTTTGCTAGAAATTACCTACTTAATATTATCTGTTATACTAAGGACCTGCCCGAAACGCTGTGTGTACTAGTGACTTTACAAGAATGTGAACACATGATGCTTTGTACTCTCATAAAGCCAATGTAACTTCTTGTATATATATAAATAAGTGTGATAAGCATGATGTAATTAAGGAGGAATTTCACAGGAGGTGGTGCAGGGAATGAGCTGAGAATGGGAAAATGATATTGTTGGACACACCTGCAGAGTCTTTGGGAGAAGTCAATGCATCCTGGTTTGTGAGGGCATGGTGCCACAGGTCAATCAGTGTGGAAGCCTCAAATTCCTCTACTAGAGGGGGAATCCTGCCAATCTTCACTGCCATACCAGACACTCCCACCTCTGGTTCAGATTCAGATTCAGGCTGTAGTACTTTTGTTTCCGGCTCTGTAATATCTGATTCTGAAAGCGATTTTTCTGTTAAAGGCACTGTAATATCTGCTTTTGAAAGAGATATCTCTGTTACAGGCAGTGTAATGTCTGCTTCTGACACTGGAGCCTCTAATTCAGATTCTGCCAATTCTGTTTCCTCTGGAACGTCAATTTCGGAAATTGATTCCACTGTTTGAAGCTCTGCAGTAACTGCATCTGATGATATTAGGTGTTTTTCAAGTGCCTGTGTTTTAATTTCAATTACTGCATCTTCTTCATCAAAAGCTCGTTCATCTCTTTCAGGTTCAATGACTTTGGATAGAGGAATGGTTTTGTTTGTTTCAGGTACTTCCACTTCATGGACAGTGAACACAGAAGGGCTGTTAGTTGTAAGATGAAGGTTATCTTCTGCTTCTGAGAGTACAGCTGTATCCACAGATGCTTCAGGTGAGATTTCAGAGCTTGATACAGAACCAGCGGAGCTCTCAAACGAAATTTCAGTACTCGGGTTAGTATCTGCTGCTATTTCAATTGCTGACACAGGCTCTGTAGTATTTGAGTCTTCAACTCCATCAGGCACATCGTAACTTGCGCTTAGCGATTTAGCTTCTCTGCTTGGATTATCATCAATTTCTTGCTCTGGTTCCTCCAATGGAATAAAATCAAGTTTTCCATCTGGTGTGTGAGCATTCAATGTAGAATCCTGAAGAAGCAGAACAGAATCATCCATCTCAGGGTTGGGTTCTCTGTTTGTTGGTGTCTCTAAATTATCTGCATATAGCATCTTTTCCTCGGGTAATAATCCATAACTAAAGTCGCCCATTGGCATTGCTTTGAAATTTTCATAATCAAGTACTACTTCAGTGGTAGTGGAAGGCGAATATCCATCAAAGGTTTCTGTGACCAGATTTGGTTCAACAAGGGACTGAGTTTCTGGAACATATGCGACATTAAGAGATTCAGTAAGAGGGAGGATATCTTCAGGGACAGATGCAATGGATTCAGTAACTGGGATGATGTCTTTGAGCTGAGAGAAGGCCGTTATTGGAGGGGACGTTTCAGATGAGATTTCCGTCACTTGACTGACCACGACAGAATAGCGAGCAGTGTCATCTTTTTCAACGGAGGAGGGTCGAGGTACCTGCACTGGTCCCACGGATGGCTCGCCTGCATGCTCTTGTGACGCCTTGCCTGACCACAGGAGATAACACAACATAAATTATACAAAACCTAATGAGTAATTGGATGAATGGATACATACTAGCCAAGTGGATTCACACTGACTAAGTGACTATGCACTGGTCAAGCGGCTACACACTGGCTGAGTGGGCACTAATCTTTTATAAATGTAAACAGGTTAATTTAAATAAAATTGGTCATTACAGCAAATTTAAGTTTGAAAGGCATGCAGTAAACATTACCGAGAAGTGAGGATGACGGCCTGGTCTCACTGGCATGGGAGCTGAGGAACTGGAAGGCTTCATCCAGGCGGTCCTTGTGGTCTTCCAGGAAGCGCTCCAGGGTGTAAATCTTGGTACCATCATCTAACGTCTTCAGGCCCTCCACTGGCGACCCATTGACGTTAACCTTCCCTGGAAAAATAGATGACCAGTTTGTAGTTCCATTTTAAAGCTACATTGTATCAGTATCTGATTGTATCTGTAACCTAGACGTAGTCTATATAACCGAACTGCTATTTCCCTGTGGATTAATTTTGGGAAATATAACCTTTCTAACTTGGTTGCCTGAAGATACCAGAGGGCGAACCTTCTGCTACTCTAGGGAGTAGATAGGCTTTGTTGAGGTGTGAGTGTTTTTTGGTAATGATATTTTTTATGTTCTCTAGGCTGGATTGAATTGTTTTATGTATCACTGGATGACGAGTTGCCAATTTAGCAATTTCATCGGCTTTCTCATTTAATGGGATTCCAACATGGGATGGGATCCAGTTTAAGGTGATGCCTTTAGCATCACCTTAAACTGGATCTTTGTCTTTTGCCTTTAGCGACTGCTCCAAGATACAAAATGGTGGTAATTATTTCCACGTTGTCTTTCCACTGCTTTTGTCCTAATATTTGAGGTGCAGCTTTTGAGTCTGTGTGTTTGATTGCATTTTGAGTGTTTTGTGCAATCACATATGCGAATGCCTGTTGTATGGCAAACAGCTCAGTTTGGGTTGATGATACTGGTCCTCCCAGTCTCCAATATGCCTGTTTGCTGTCCGTGCAAAGAACAGCACCAGCACTCATATTCTGTGTCAACCGATTCGTCTGTGAAGATGTGAGTGGCTCCTGCTACTGCGCATTTGCTTTCTATTATGCACCTTAGGATTGTTGGATCATAAGCAGCCTTTTTCATTGGGAGACTTTCTATTACTATTTTGAAGGTAGGCCCCTCCCACAGTGGGGAGGAGCCTACCTTCAAAATAGGTAGCCTATACCTTCTTTTCCTTAGTCAAAGGTACGCTTAATTATTCCGTGATAATATTCCGAGATTTATTAAGTGATAATGTAAGCTTTGTCACAAGTTACATATCATCATTCAATTTTGTTGTTTATGTAATAAAGTTTCATTGTAATTATTAATTTGATAAAAAAACAGTAAGGGTATTTATTAATTTTGTTGTTTTCATTAATATAAAATAATTATTATGTTTTAATTATGCATATAATTATTATTACTTTATTGAAACAGTAATAATATAATGAAATATTTACAAATTTGGAATAAATGAGAAACGTACTGATAATGTGGCATGGAAAGTGAGGTTATTGAAGATGGCCCAAAAGATGGTTGATGAAAATGACCCGAAAGTGAGGCTGATGATCTGAAAGTGAGGTTGATGACCCGAAAGTGAGGTTGATGACTAAAAAGTGATTGATAACCCGAAAGTGAGGCTGATAATCCGAAAGTGAGATTGGTGATCCGAAAGTGAGGTTGATGACCCGAAAGTGAGGCTGATGATCCGAAAGTGAGATTGGTGATCCGAAAGTGAGGTTGATGACCGGAAAGTGAGATTGATGATACGACAGTAATTAAAGTTGGTGACCCAAAAGTGAGGTTGATGGCCCAGAAGACTTACCCCGGGGGTCTCTGGTAAAGACCAAATCGTCGCCAGTGTGAGAGGCCATCTTAAGTCCTCCAGGCTGGCTGATCCTCGGGTCGTGAGCATCAAGAGCCTCCAGCTGCAGGAACTCCAGCAGCTCCTTCATCCCTTTGGCAGGTACCTTCTGGCCCGCCACGCCCTCGGGATGCGGGTCCTCCCCTCCTTCTGCATCATACACAATAGACAGAGGAGTTAGTGAGTGTTGGACCTCTCTCAGTTATGATGTACTAGGTGCTGCCTTCCTACTAGTTATGTACTAGGTGCTGTCTTCCTACTAATGTACTAGGTGCTGCCTTCCTACTAGTTATGTACTAGGTGCTGTCTTCCTACTAATGTACTAGGTGCTGCCCTCACACTAGTGATGTACTGGGTCCTTCCCTCCCACTAGTGATGTACCAGGTTCTGTTGGGGTCAGGAAACCTGTATATTTAGGTTTATATCGAGGTCTTCCTCCTAGGTCATCTACTGACCTTTTCTAAGATGCACCCCCACAACAATTTACTAACTCTCAGGTACCCATCTACTGCTAGGTGAGCAGACGCATTAGGTGAAAGTAAAGATGCCCAACAATTTCTGCCCTGCCCGGGATTCGATCCCGAGAGTAGCGATTGTGAGTCCAGAACGAACCAACCTATACTCGGAGACCCATATACTAACTACGAAAACTCATATATAATGAATAAAGGGTCGCCAGTAGTACAGTCGGGTTCGAATCCCGGACGGAACAGAAATGGTTGGGCACCTTTCCTTTCACCTAATGCCTCTGTTCACTTGACAGTGAGTAGGGACTCGGGAGTTAGTCAGCTTGTTGTGGGTTTGCATCCTGGGCTGGGTCGGGCCAGTTCCTTAATTCGGCCTTGGAAAGGGGGGGATATCCCTCCCTCGATAAAAGCCAAACGTGTATGTATACACTCTGGCTTCCTGTCCCCCCAACACACCGAATTACTCAAATTATAACATCCCATTTGCACCATTTGAGGACAAAGGCGCTCTGATGTCAGTGGGGGGATTACCTGTTTCGACTTCTTTTTTCCCTACTGCAACGTGTTTTTTCTGTCTGCTTGACCTATATATTACCTAACAGTAAACTCAAGCATGAACAAAAACATGTACTTTGTGGCAAGGGGCCTTTGAACCCGTTTTAGAAGGGGTCAGAAAATGCCATCACCAGTGACTATGAGCCTAGTCACTGTGTCAAGATATGATATATTTACTGCGTAACTTTATTGCAGTAAACAGCTAAAACTTGATGTGAACAGGTTATGCTTCAAGTAAACAACTTTCATTATACTTGTAGTAGTTCACTTACATTTACAGTAAAAACTTATACTTTGGATAATTATAAATTATACTTATAATTATAAATTATAATTATAAATATACTTATAATTATTTATACTGCGAGTATAAATAATTTATTGTGAGTAAGTGGATTACTCACAATAAATTATTTATACTCGCAGTAAATAACTTATACTGCAGTAAGCTACTTATACTTGCAGGAAATAACTTATACTGCAGTAAGCTACTTATACTTGCAGGAAATAACTTATACTGCAGTAAGCTACTTATACTTGCAGGAAATAACTTATACTGCAGTAAGCTACTTATACTTGCAGGAAATAACTTATACTGCAGTAACAAAGGACTTATACTTGCGGTACTCACCTAGTTGTGCTTGCGGGGGTTGAGCTCTGGCTCTTTGGTCCCGCCTCTCAACTGTCAATCAACTGGTGTACAGGTTCCTGAGCCTACTGGGCTCTATCATATCTACACTTGAAACTGTGTATGACAAAAAATAAAGGAAGGCTGTGTGTGGATGCGACTCACCTGGATGTGTATGGTTGCTGGATGCATGGTTGAGGGTGTAGGAGTGGGCGGGGGTCCTGGGTAGCGTGGCCCCATGTAGGGTAGCCACTAGTACGCCCATCACCACCACCACCCTCGCCGCCCACACTGTAGCAGGAGAAACACACAAGGGAACTCAGTCATGGTGGCATTTATAATCTGAATAATATAATCAACATACATGCATGGGATATATAGATATGTATACTGAGAGGCTTACATTTCTTCTCTGAATATATACACCTAAGTATTGTGTGTATATCACGAAAATAAACACGTGATTAAGAATGTGACAATGTCAGACCACGGAGGAAAATGAAACAGGAATTTCCTTAAATTCCTGTTTCATTTTCATAAGGAAATTCCTGTTTCATTTTCCTCCGTGGTCTGACATTGTCACACCTAAGTATTCTATAGTCATAGACTGTGTTCAGAACTAAAGCATATTTAGTTGTTGGTCTCTTCAGGTGAATTTTAAAACCTAATTTTGGATGCCACACTCCATGAGAAGGGTCTAAGACCTGTACCGGAATGACTATTGTCTCGTCATATCTCGTGTACATCATATATAAAACAACATTTCATCTGTATTTTCATAAGGTTGTGATAAGTAAGATCACGTTAGGTGAGACAGGGTTATCTTCTTGAGGTTATCTTGAGATGATTTCGGGGCTTAGCGTCCCCTGCGGCCCGGTCCTCGACCAGGCCTCCTTTTTGTTACACATCCCCCAGGAAGCAGCTCCGTAGCAGCTGTCTAACTCCCAGGTACCTATTTTACTGCTAGGTCAACAGGGGCATCAGGGTGAAAGAAACTCTGCCCATTTGTTTCCACCTCCACCGGGGATCGAACCCGGAACTTTAGGGTTAGTTTAGGGTCGTTTATAGAATCTCCATGACATAGGGGGTGTGGGTGTGGCATACATTGTTCAGGTCTTAGACCCTACTCGTCTCTTTCCTCCTGTCGACATGGGGTAGCTTCCCTTACGTTGTTGTGAGGTTGTGACGCAGTTTCAGTGTTGTGAGGTTGTGACGCAGTTTCAGTGTTGTGAGGTTGTGACGCAGCTTCAGTGGTATCAGGCTGTGACGCAGCTTCATTGTTGTGAGGTTGTGACGCAGCTTCAGTGTTGTGAGGTTGTGACGCAGCTTCAGTGTTGTGAGGTTGTGACGCAGCTTCAGTGTTGTGAGGTTGTGACGCAGCTTCAGTGTTGTGAGGTTGTGACGCAGCTTCAGTGTTGTGAGGTTGTGACGCAGCTTCAGTGTTGTGAGGTTGTGACGCAGCTTCAGTGTTGTGAGGCTGTGACGCAGCTTCAGTGTTGTGAGGCTGTGACGCAGCTTCAGTGTTGTGAGGCTGTGACGCATCTTCATTGTTGCCAGACTACGATACATCTTCATTGTTACAAGGTTACAACACATCATTGTAGCGAAATAATGTCATATCATTGTTGTGAGATAACGTCACAACATCTTTGTAAAATTGCAAGTCAAAGGCACAAAAGTATCTTTGCAACATCTCGTTGAAAACAAGTTATTGACACAGGGGGCAACGGTCCACACGATTGTAAAAATGACGTTGCAATTACATCCTATTTTTTGCAGACAACTCAAATTAGCTGCTTGGCAATCTGGTTCAATCAGTCATATTGTGGCTGTTATACCACTCCTCTCACCTATTATATCGCATTTTTCTACTGAGTGGTAGAGAGAACGGGTTGAAATGTGTGTGTGTGTACATGTAACCATTACACCACGCTATCACAAAATAGGCTACTGCTTCTCGAATTGGGTTTTATACGGTCGGGAACAGGAAATCTTATCGAGGTCCCTCTAGGCTAGCTAGGCCCAAAGGTCAACGGACTGATTTCCAGGATGGACGCCACAAACAGCCGACTATCATCTATCTTGAGGTTATCTTGAGATTAAGGTTAATCATTATCTTAAATTTTCTTAGATTAAGGACCTGCCCGAAACGCTGCGCGTACTAGGGGCTTTACAAGAATGTAATTACTATGCTATGTATCCTCACAATCCCAATATACCTTCTTGTATATATATAAATAAAATAAATAAAATAAAAATAAGATGATTTCGGGGCTTAGCGTCCCCGTGGCCCGGTCCTCGACCAGGCCTTCTTTTTGTTATACACCCCCAGGAAGCAGCCCGTAGCATCTGTCTAACTCCCAGGTACCTATTTACTGCTAGGTAACAGGGACATCAGGGTGATAGAAACATTTGGTCCATTTGTCTCCGCCTCCACCGGGGATCGAACCCGGAACCTCAGGACTACGAATACGAAAAGCTCTCCACCCAGCTGTCAGGCGTCCTGGCGTAACCTAGCATTTTAAAAGCACTACAATCACCTTCTGTGGTTGATTGTTCAATAAATCCCTGAACTGAATGTTTGATAAATTTCTCACCCTGTCCATGGAGGACAGAAGAAAATGTAAATATGCTGGTTAGCACTGTTAATGTGTGGCCACGTCTGTGGTTAGAAAATAATACTAATAATAAAAACTGATTGCTACGAAAGGAACAAAAACATCAGGTGTATGGGCAACACGAAGCCTAATGGAGTTTTCCAATGCACTGTGGCAATTAACGAAGGGAAGGAAGAAACTTGCACCAAGGTAATTCCTTTTTGGTGAAGGTTCCAGACACCGCCTGTGGCAATGGCTGTCGCGCCAAGCCCTGTCTAGCCGACCCTCAGAGCACAGTTTGGAGATGACCTCACTCTCCTCTACAGGAACCTCAACAGGGGACAATAGTAATCAGTAATATAGATATGCATAGTGTCTGATTATCCATTAATCAGTAATATAGCTATGCATAGTGTCTGATTATCCATTAGCCACAGTGGTTATCTTGAGATGATTTTGGGGCTTTAGTGTCCCCGCGGCCCGGTCCTCGACCAGGCCTCCACCCCCAGGAAGCAGCCCGTGACAGCTGACTAACATCCAGGTACCTATTTACTGCTAGGTAACAGGGGCATAGGGTGAAAGAAACTCTGCCCAATGTTTCTCTCCGGCGCCCGGGATCGAACCCAGGACCACAGGATCATAAGCTCAGCGTGCTGTCCGCTCGGCCGACCGGCTCCCTGTGCCTAGGGCTTACGAAATGGTGAGGGCCTACGAAAAATAAAATGAGAGCTTTTCTTCCCATTTTTTCTATTGGATTTTATTAAATTGATACTGAGGTAACTTGTTCCATTTATTTATTATTTAATCCAAATAGTATCTATTTAAAGTTCACTACGGGCTCACCATAGCCCGTGCTACTTGGAACTTTTTTTCCAAGTAGCTGAATCTAAAACAACACAAACAACAATAGTATCTATTTATGCTAATTCTTGTCTACTATTCTATTTAAGCATATTATGGCCATAAATGAAAGCAAAATACTTGGTAACAGCTTGTGTTATTAATGAATATGCTCTCAAATCTCGCCCAATGTCTTGAAGGTGTCTACGAGAGCTTTCTTCCGGACATGCAAATGTAGGATAAACTGTTAAAAAGATATCTAAACAGTTTATGCTAAATTTCTTTAAATTTGTTGCTAAATTTCTAATAAATTTATGCTAAGTTTCTTATAAAACAACCCTTGTCCTGTATGGCCAATAGGAAAGGTGTATTTAAAAAAAAAAGTTACTGCAATAAGACCTAACAATTATTCTGAATAGGCAAATGTTGTTTATAAAATAATAAAAATATTATAGAAATAACAGGGGGCAATAATGGTGCTTCACAACCGGTAGCATGTTGAAGAGGTGTTGTAAAGTATACTTTGATAACTCATTTGACTTTGAGAGCCATTGACCTATGGTACATCAGCAATGTCTCTTTTTAAGAGTTAATAAAGAAAAAAAAGGTAGCCAAGCACAGGTTAACATATCAAGATATCATTTACATTATATATTTAAAACACAAGAAAGTTATATTGGGTCACATACCAATGTGTTTGGATTTTTACTTTCACTGGCGTTCATTTAAATAATTTAAAAATATAATGTGTTTAAAAGAAAATCTCCATCACTGTTGACCAAACCACACACTAGAAAGTGAAGGGACGGCGACGTTTCGGTCCGTCTTGGACCATTCTCAAGTCGATTGTCACTGTTGCTAAGAATGTGGCAACAGTGATGTCCAGCCAAGGCAAGGGTGCAGCCCAAGAAGCTGCCTCTGGCAAAGCCATCTTTGTACTTCCTACTTGTTCACCTTCTCCAGTCCTCCGTCCATGGCTCTGGGCATATCAGATCTTAGGAGCCCACTTGCAAGCTCTGTACCTCTTCGATACAGCTTTCTTTGTATTTATTGACCAATTTACTACACCCAAGCCTCTTCAGGTCATTCTTAACCCAAGATTTGTTATGGATGTCCTCGTATCGTTTCGAAACTCTCAAACTGATTAATAAGTCGTCATGATCGATTGTGAGAGGTTCAAACCTCTTAAGTTGACATCTTTGAGTACTCGGTGAAGCCTATTTGGCAGGACATGTAGCATCTTATAATTTGTCACCTTCATCGTTAAAACTGCGACGTATCACTTTCCTGAGAAGAATCGGGGACTATAGCAGTATCACTTTATGGCCGTAACTCGAGGAATATAAATTGATTTCATAAATAATCGATTTTGCCATTTTAAGGGTCTGGGGCCAGATTCACGAAGCAGTTACGCAAGAACTTACGAACGTGTACATCTTTTCTCAATCTTTGGCGGCTTTGTTTGCATTTATTATCTTGAAATAACATAGATACTTGCTCTGTATCTAGTGTTACCCAATCTCCCAATCTTTATTTACTTAATCCAAACAACTTTATCATTGTGTTCATTGCTGTCTTTTATGTGCTAGCCATATGCTGTATTGTGCCTATTATTTTTGTTAAACTAGCATTCAAGCTGTCATTGCAATCAATCTGAGCTACCTATGTGCTTTAATATACCTACAATTTTCTTTCATCTTTTATTTTTTCTTGCTATGTAACTTTTATCAATTTTATAAATTTTGCAAGTATCTACCTACTTAAAATTTTCTTAGATTAAGGACCTGGCCGAAACGCTGCGCGTACTAGTGGCTTTACAAGAATGTAATTACTATGCTATGTATCCTCACAATC